CCCTAGGCCACTAGTGCGAGCCCGGTGGATACACTAAGTCGCAACGAGGTCAAAATGGGGACTTTGGAAGTCAGTCTAAAGTGTAAGTCTACGGAGAACTCTACTTTGACTTTGAAGATCAAAATGACACCACTCTGACGTCATTTTAACAGAGGCGTTCCCCTTGAGAGTGATAGAGCTACCACCCGCGAGCTCCCAAGCACGTTCCCAGAGCGTTTTCACTACCTCCCCCGCCCCATTTTGAGCGGTTCAGGTGAGCTTCCGGGGGAGCTCTGCTGTCGCACTGCTCTGAGAGGCGCCTTACCGGAGAAGTTCGGCGCGATGTCGAGCCCGTTGCCCAGGTAGCCGGCGGTGACGGCCCCGTTGAAGGTGAGGGCCAGCGTGAAAATGGCCACAGAGGCGACCCTGTCGCTGCCCACGAAGATCTGCACGGCCATCAGCAGGCCCGGGATGCCCACCGCTGCAACAAGACGACGGGTGTCTGAGACCTGGAGCACCCCTGGCCCTGGAGCCGCCCGGGTGGGTGGGACTGAGCGAGCTGCAGTGTGCCTCTCTCCTGCCAACCTACCGAAGGTTGTGAAGATCTTGCGGATGGCGGTCGTGCTGATCTTGTTCCTGCTCTTGAGGTAGTCGGCAATCACTCCTGTGCCGAGGGCCATGAGGTACTTCCCCAGGTAGGGCAAGCTAGACGCCATACCGTTCTACACACACAAAATAATAAACAATAAATAAATAAACCCGGGGCAAATGTTGAACTTGGACAAAATGCCCCGCACATCCGGCCCATACATACCTCCTTGATGTTGAAGTGCAGGACCTTCTTCATGAAGGTCGGCAGCTGGTTGACGACGGTGAAGAAGCCGTAGATGCTGGCGACGTGTGACAGGACGATGGCCCAGACCGGGCCGGAGCTGAGCACCTGGCGCCAGGGCACCGGCAGCGACTGCGGCAGGGAGGGAGGGCCGTGAGGGTCACCGTCAAGGAGGAGAAAACAAAAGGCCCGGCGGGACGGGCGCGCGTCCAGGGACCGGGTCAGGGCCCGCGCCCGAGCTTGGCACGCTGCACGCTCACGCTCATGTGCACGGCGGCGTGCCGACCGAATCGGAGCTTTCTCACAGGAGCCGTGAACGTTAAGGGGGCCCGAAAACGACAGTTTGAGCGCGACTTGGGTTGGCCATGGTTCCCATGAAATCTGGGATTTGGGCCGAAAACCGGGCTGGTTTTGGAAGAGGATTTTCACTCCTTGCGGACAAGCAACGTTCGGCCCATATCCCAGATACGAAACCATGCCCAAAGTCGTGCTCAAACTTTCAGTTAGGGAAACCCTAGTGAACGCAACGAATACGACGTGGGAGGGGGAGGCGGGCTACAAATATCATGTCTCCCTCCCTTATAGAAGTTTCAGTACGCCCGTCGTTCGCCGTTACGAAGACTTACTGCTACTGCCAAGTCAAGCTCTCTCAGAGCGCCTGATAGGTAGGCAACATCTCGCCTGCAGTGCATATGTGTTCTGCGGGGCGGCCTACCCCGAGTCTCGCAGGCGCCGAGCTCCCGCGTAATGTGCCGAATGATTCTGAGAAAAACGGCCGTACTTTCTAGACGATCCCTTGCTAAAAGTTAAACCTACCGCCACCTCTAGAAATACAGTGGAAGCGAAAATTTTGTGATATCGCGAACGATATCGTTTTGATATTGCATGTCGATTTGTTGCCCCCCCCCCCCCTTTTTCTGATGTTAGGGACACGGAAAGTGGCGAAAAGTCGACATGCGATATCTATACGAAATTGCCATTTCTGGCGGTAAGGTTTCGTTTCGTACTAATTTGTCCGGAAAGCTATATGATTTCGTACAGATGAATGTACAAAATTACGTTCATATCGACGCAGAAATAATGTGTGCAAAATATTTGATTGCTTAAATTTGTACAAATAAAATATGCAATCTACACGGAAATATGCTAATATGGACTTGTATAACAGCATTAGCTGGCTTAACTAATTCTTAGCTAAGAGGGCTAACATATTAAATCTTTACAGCAAGTTTCTTTATTTTCTAGACAACTTGTTGTGGCTTATATTTTAGCTCTCTTAGCTAATTAGCTAGGCAAGCCAATAATCTCATCAAAAAGGCCATATCAGCGAATGCATTAGCTGATTTAGCTAATTATTTTTCCAGTCAGTGTGTGGGGGCTCACCTCCTTCTCCTTTGAGCGCACGCTGTCGCCCAGCGCCTGCTCGATGAAGCGCCGCTCCTCGTCGCTGATGCGCGGGTGCTGCGCCGGCGAGTCGTAGATGAGCGCGAACCAGAGCAGCGACCAGGCGAGCCCAATGCCGCCCGTCACGTAGAAGGTGGACTCCCAGCCCCAGGTGGCCAGCAGCTGTCCGCAGATGGGCATGGTCACGGCCGCGCCCAGCGACGAGGCTGCGATGAGATAAGGAAAACGTCTCGGAAAAACTTCGTATTGACGATGGAAAGTTGTACCATTTGAAAAAAAATTCTAAATCATAAAATCAACGTTTACAGGGATAAGACTACAGGGTGCGGCCCACAGATCCCAGGATATTTCATACTACGCCTTATGCGTCGACATTACGATACTGCCCCCTCCCCCCCAAAAAAAAACAACAAAAAACAGTAGTATAAGTAATGGTTTGTAATTTCCATTATACATATATAAAATATAATTTTTTTTTGTAACGAGTGACAAATTCACTAAATAAACGATGCTTATTTCTGCACCCAATCCATCCAATTGGGAGCAGCATCATTGTGGAGTCACCTTGTAGTAGTCACACAGCTCCCATTCCAATACCCACCATGATTTGAAAGAAAAATAAAGTGTTATTCTTTCATTTATTCCGGTTCAGCACAACTCGCTTTTCTCCTCTATTTGACACTCCGAAAAACGGGGCTAGAGTTGGGGTGAAGTTTGAGAGTCGATCAGGAGACGAGAGGTTTTTTGGCAACCTTCCCCCCCCCCACCCCTTCCCGCTTCCCCCTGCCACTTGTCTTTCTTCTTCAAACAACGATATCAATTTGGCCGCGGAATATTTACGGAATTATTAATTAATTATTTTGCATTTCGTGCGAGACTATTTTTACTTTCAGCTCAGTGCGTCATTTTATTCTCCCTCGCCTGCCTATGTCTGTTTACATTCCCGGCAAGACGTTTCCGCTGGTCGCCTCGCCTCGCCCCGCCCCGCCCCGCCCCGCCACGCGCGCACCCCGTCTGGGTCAATCCGTCCACTCCACTCTGGTGGACCGGGGCGGACTATGACCGTCGATATCGAGTCTCTCCCACGGATGTTTCTACGAGGCGCAATGATGCGATCGTCTCGGTGATCGTAGAACAGAGGGCCGAACAGTAGCCCACTGGACCCGCGGTGCCCCCCCCCCCCCCTCGTTGCCCCGGGACGTGGTGGCACGGTACGGTGCCGAGGGGCAAAAGTTTTACGGAAAGGGGCGGGGGGATTAGTATAATGCAGTGTGTGTGTGTGTGAGAGAGAGAGAGAACATTGTTTGTGTTCCCTGGTGTGTCACGGAACACATACTCGGTGACACGGTGTACATTATGTACTTTGTACACCTGCAGGCCTGGCCCCGTCGGCCTACCTACTCCCGTTTCTGTTGCCGCAGCCCGACCCGTCTTTGCCACACTGGCGTGGGGGCAGGCGGCGCTACACACGTAAAAATAATAAAATATTGCATCACTTCAATACACGTATCTCATGACACCGCATCCTTACCCATCATGTTGGACATGAACTTGCTCCGGTCGGCCGGCGGGATCCACTGGGCGGCCATGGGCAGCATAGCGGGCCACGTGACACCCTACGGGGTCCAGAAACAAAACGACATGTCAGTCTGATGAGCTCTGTGTGCAAACGGACGAGAGGTTTGCCATTTGAAACAGCCGATGGGCGAGGAACCGGAGACGGCAGTGTTTGCTCAGGTGATTTGTGATCAAACAAATGCTACAATTATTTTTTCATTGAAGTGATGTGTTTCAATACCATCAGAAAAGTATAGAGCGAAGAAATTAGAAGCATTTTGCGTCTCTCTCTGAAGAGCATCGTGCGCGACTTCCACATTTTCAGTGCAAAAATCGTTTCTTCATCCGATTACAAGAACGAGTACGCCCTTTTAGAACACTAAAAAATCTGTCCATTGGGACAAATTCCTTTGGAGAACGCTTTTTACTGGACGTGTTATTCACAGATAAAAAAAGACGTAGCACCAGAAATTATAATTTGACCTAACTATTGTCGCGGTGTCGTACGTTATGAGAGGCGTTCTGATGGTAGCCATGCGCGGGAGGCACCGGTACAGAACAGTGCAAACATGCAAACATATTGGATTCGACATTGTCGGCTTCAGTATGCAAACGAGTGAAGACCACGTGCCACGCGCCGGCCACACAACTACAACAACAAGACTGGCCCAAAGCGAGAAAATAAGCCTCGTAAGAGACGAAAATACGACGCTTTTTAAAATGAACTTCAATGAAAAACAACAACCCGAAGAAGAATTTGGCGTGCCCCAAGATCGTAGACGCTTCTTTTGCCAATTTGGCTGTGGGCCCCATCCTGAGCTGATGAGCATATGAGCAGCAGCGTCATTGCACCCCGCAGAGCCCCGCCCCGCCCCAGACGTCTTTTCTACCCGCGCTTAATTTCTTTTAGTCCGCCCGTATACAACATTAGGTCAACAAGGCGGTGGTGTGAGATCACTTCTGCTCATCTAGGACACTTGGACGTCGTGTCCGTCAGCAGGGCACAGTGAAAAAAAAATTAACAAAAGATAGTTTGCGCGTGGTGATGATTAGGGCACGTTATTCATTCTTTACAAAATGCGGATAATAGAACTTCCAACTTGTCTGAAATTAGTTCCATCAAATTACTAGAGAGCATAGCCTTCACTAAAAAATATCAGGGGAAAAAATCAGAAAAA